ACCAAACCGGAACAATGTGGGCCCCGCAATATTCAGGCAGCCGGCCCCGGGCATTCTCCAAGGCTTAAAAGTTGCTATATTTTTTCTAATGTCGCGAAGGAAAACAAAAAAAGAAAGTGGCGGCAATGCCAGCAAAGCCAACACCCAACCCGAAGGCCGCCGGGCAAAAATCAGGGGGGGCGGGACAACAAAAACGAACGGGGCCAAGAACTTCGCGGCCAAATACCTAGCGCCCTGGGGCTCTTCCCATCCAGAGAAAAAATGGCCCAGAAGGGAGGCGACCCCAAGGGGAGGCCCGGCGCGATGTGCAAGATTAGGGGGGGCGGCAATTTGCCCACACAAAAAACCGGGAAACCACCCGGCGAAATGATCAACAACAACCGCCTGGCCGGAAACAGACCGGGCGGGGCGCCTCTTGCCCCCGGCTAATTCCTTGCCTAAATCGATGCTAAGGCAGGCGGCTAACTTCGCGCCTAAATTCCTGGCTAAATCACGGCTAATTTTTTTCATTGCAAACCCTTTCGCATTCCCTATGCTGGAATTAGAAGCAAATTAGACACGAAATTAGAGCCCAAATTAGACCCCCCCAATCCCACCTCTGCGCCCCTCATGAACCTCGGCCGGGCGGGCCGGGGCCATTGATATGCGGCCCGAGACAAATGGGAAACAGCCGCGCCGCTTTCCCTCTGGGGCAAAGACTAAGAACACAGGGACGCAAAACTTGGAAACCCCGGGCCCCGATGCGCCACGGGCCCTGCAGACACTGGGGCAGAAATCTTCGCCAAAAAAATTAAAAAAAATCCCCAGCGCCCCAACTTCCAAAACCTGCAAAAACTACGGGCGAGAAAACCCATGCCCGGACTACCTCTAGAACCCTTGGGGCCCCAGACTCGCGGGGCCACGGCGAAAAGAAACAAGGGGGGCCGCAAGCCGGAATAATGTGGGCCCCACAATATTAGAAAAAAATCGGCAGCCTTTTAGGCGGCAAATTTGCGAGCCATCGGCCGGCTGACAATATTAGAAAAAAATCGGCAGCCTTTTAGGCGGCAAATTTGCGAGCCATCGGCCGGCTGACAATATTAGAAAAAAATCGGCAGCCTTTTAGGCGGCAAATTTGCGAGCCATCGGCCGGCTGATGCCTTTCTTTCTGGGTGGTCATGAGTGTCTGAGTATGATTCTTCATCCCATTCATTGACTCCTATCTTCATTTCTCTTTCTTTCAAAAGATAAAATTCATTTCTTTCGAATGATTCCTTCATTCATAGATGTGTCATCGAAATATCGGATTCTTTCTTTCTTTCTGTCCATATCCGGATATGTCTTCAAATTTCTCAAGGTCCTAAATATTCCGTTGCAATCCTCTTTTTTCCTCTCCAATGATCAGAACCATATCGGATTGATGATGGATCATATATCAATGGAATCTATCATAATAAGAAAAAGCTAATAAATTATCGATACAAGATAGGCAAAATTGCTGATAGATGATAATCATATGACATGATGATGCCAAACCCAGGCACGAACAGAAAGAAAGAAAGAAAGACATCGATGATCAAGAGAGCAGGTTGCAAATGGAAGAAGTGGATTCTTTAGGGCCTTGAACATTTGAAGCCATGCCCGAACATGGAAAGAAAGAAAGAAAGAAAGAAAGAAAGAAAGAAAGAAAGAAAGAAAGAAAGAAAGAAAGAAAGAAAGAAAGAAAGAAAGAAAGAAAGAAAGAAAGACATGATGATATTGATCGATGACATCCGAGAATAATATATTGATATTTGAAATCTTGGAAGATAAAAAATAATTGAGAGACAGAGAATGAGATGATGATGAGAATGAGAACACATATCTATGATCGCAAGAGATAATCATCATCATCAACTTTAGGATGTGTGGGGGAGGAAACAATGTTTCATGCCTCACAGCTTCCTCCAGACTCTTCCCCACGCCGCGCCAGGTTCCGTATGGTAGTGGCCCGCTAGCGACGGGGGGTGCGGGCCGACGGTAGTAGCGTCGGGTTCTGCCCCACGTGCGTGGGGTGAGTGGAGGCACGTGCGACTCCACCAGTCCCCGAGCCGCGACCCAAGGTGTAGAGCCAACGACTCGTAACACCCGTGGCAAGGAGCGGTGACGACTAGGAGGCCGCGAGAGGTCGAGGACGCGTGCTGCAGGACGGAGGGGTTTCTCAAGAGATAATGAATTTGCATGATGAGATAGAAATTCTCATATGATCTATTTCGATATTCTTTATGATGAATTTCTAAATTATGGCATTTTCTCCCGATATGATGGTGCCGACATAAATACAACGAATAAAATAGAAACTGATAAAGAATCTGAATGCAATAACTTCCGATAAGATCCTTTTCCTTGAGTAGTTTTTTTTTCTTTTCTCTCTTGATCGATATTACTACTACTATTGTCTGCTTAGTCTATCCGATTATTAATCAAATAGATTTTCTTTACGGCTATATTATTCGGAGAAAGTGACGCTGTGAGACCTAGAAGTCAATGGACTCCGCTCGGGCAGGGTCGTTTAAGGTTTCCCGGGAAACCTTCGGTGTAGCTCGTGCCAAAGTGTGTTGCAATGCAACCGAAAACGCGGCGCGCGCATGGACTCCGCTGCTGTTTGTGTGCACAACCGCGCCGCGTCTGTGTTGGCGTCTCGTGTGCCCAAATCGCCACACTCGGCTGCGGACTGCGAGCAACCTGGCGGCCCCGGCAAACCGGCGCACATTTTCGCCTGGCCTAACTTGGGCCGCCTCGGAGGACCTTCCGCCGGTGGTGCGATCCCGGTTTGGCCGGAAGATTTCC